GTCCTGTTCTAGAACAGTCATATGCAGTATTTGTCCTTTTGTGACTGAGATATTTCACTCAGCATAATGTCCTCCGGGGTCACCCATTTTGTATAATATTTCATGAGTTCTTTGTTTTTCAGTGCTGCATAGTATTCCACTGTGTGAATATGTCATGGCTTTTCTATCCATTCATTTGTTGGTGGGCACTTGGGTTGTTCCAAACTCTTTGCTATTGTGAGCAAAGCAACAATAAATGAGGATGTGCTGGGTTTACGTTGAGGCCTCAGAAAGGGATCTCAGACCAGCACCCTTCGCTCCCTTGCCCGTTCCCCTCATTTCCATGTCTCCTTTGGCTCAAATGCAGTCTCTCCAGAGCAGCACTCTACACTGTGCCTTCAATCCTTTATCTTCTTGGTTCCTCAACCCTACAGTGTCTGAACCTCCTCATTTTACAGATGTGCGAATTGAGGCACATAGAAGAGACATAACTTACTCTGGATTTCTCAGCTGGCGGTTAAAACAGCAGCTTCAAACTAGACTGCTATGTTCTAGAGTCTGTTCACACAACCACCCCTAGCTGTGGCGGGGCCCACCAGACTCTGCCCTGGAAGGAGTCTCCTGGGAAGATGCCCAGAAGGACAGGAGTATAGTGACAGGTGTGGGGAGGAAGTTTATGCTATTAGGATCTAGTGGTTCGAAACCAGGGATGCTGCTAAACGTTGCTCACAGTACACAGAATGGCCTTCACAATCAAGGATCATCTGACACGAATTGCTGACGGTGTTGGAGTGAGAAACACTAGTGTCGAACACAGGAGTGAGAGTGGCTGAAATCCAAGCCAGGCTTTAGGACAAAGCACGTTCACCTAGACAAGAAGCATTTCCCCCCAATTCAGAAAAAAACCCCATAGTGAGTCAAACTGAGCCTCGTGGGGTGCTGGGGGTTCTAAAGGAGGGTAGAGAATGTACCTCCCACATGCTAGGCTCTGATTTGTGCAAAAAGCAATTTAAAAGAGACATTTAGTCTCTAATAGAGGGTCAAAAAGTCAATGCATGTGATTATGCCATTTTCTCAGTAGCAAAGACAGACGCTTAAAAGCATGCTGACATTCCAGCCCAGGTGGGAAATGGATGTGATCCGGGCTCATCCCTGCATCCCCGGTACTAATAGTAAAGGGTCAGAAACAATGAAATTGTCCATCAGGAGAGAAGAGGCTGGAGGCACAATAGAATATCCTGCAGCTGAGAAAATGAATGAAAATGCAGATATGCAAAAAAGGTCTTCAGGATCTATCAAGTAGTGGGGGGAGCCCCCCAAAAGTGCAGAGCTCTGTGGGGGAAAGGGGTAGATGAGACTAAAACGTCCTGGGAAGAGCTGACATTTGCAGGAAGCCGTGGTCTTCCAGTTTGGACAATGAAGAGGTTCATCCCTGGAGGGCTTTTGAAAACACAGGTTGCGTGTCTCATTCCTAAAGCTTTGATCTGAGAATTCTGAGTGTGGCCTAAGAATGTGCATTTCTGACAAGTGCCCAGGGGCTCCTGATCATAGTGGCCATACTGGGTGACCAGGTTTTCTCCCTACCGTCTCCAGGCTATTGCTATTGTTTATCCTAAACCCAGGTATGTCTTGGAGACCACACTGAGGGGATCCACAGCGTCATTGCAGGACATTTCAGAAGTAGATAGCCAGGCCTGACTTCTTTTTTTTTTCTTTTCTGTGCATTTTTAAAAAATTAGTTTTAATGAAACTTTACAGAGACTTAGGGTTTCCAGTCATTCATTCATTGTTGCACTTTTCTCCCTGCCCACCTCCTCCCCTCAATTCATTCTTTTCTTTGAAAAGTAAAACTCTTTCATTGTTATATAATCCCTCCCCCCCCAAGTCCACGCCACTGTGCAGCCTTCATTGTGGATTCCTGTCATGACAATAATACCCAATCATATGCCCCTTTTAAACAGTTCTCTCCCTCATCTGTTTCAATGCAGCATACATCATTCCTCCCCTCCTTCTGTCTTCCACAACCCCATGTCAGTCCCGTTTTACAACAGTGGCTCTATGTAATATATGTCCTTTATGACTGAGATATTTCACTCAGCATAATGTCCTCCAGAGTCATTCATTTTGCATAATATTTCATGAATTCCTTGTTTTTCAACGCTGCATAGTATTCCATTGTATGAATATAAAGCTTCTCTATCCATTCATTTGTTGATGGGCACTTGGGTTGTTTCCTGCTCTTTGCTGTTGAGAACAGAGCTACAATAAACATGGGTGTGCATATATCTGCTTGGGTGGCGGTTATAGTTTCTTTAGGGCAAATTCCCAGTAGTGGAACAGGCCTGACTGCTTCTTAATGGGACTTCAGTCTGGAAGCTCCGGGGCTGAGCAGTGGAGTTGCTGAAACACCAGCACCTCCACTGGCCGACGGGTAGGGGCTCCTTGTGAGGTGCACTGACCTGCATGGAACCCAGATCTCCCACCTTGAGGAAGAAACATCGAAACCTCATTGCCACACAGTGGGAACTGACCCCGAGCTGATCCCCCAGCTGGATTTTAGAGGCTGTAAAAGCTGGGAGGAGTGGCCTTTGGGTTAACAGCACGGCTCTGGCCTAGGCCACCTTCCCCCAGGACATTCGTGGTTGTTATTTTTAGGCTCCATCAGGTTGACTGGCTATGACTCATAGCAACTCTACGGAAACCCATATGTGGCCCTGCGGTATCCTCTCCATCTCCAGCCTGTTCCCGCCCATTGTAACAGCCACTGTGTCAACCCATCTTGTTAAGGGTCTTCCTCTCTTTCTCTGACCTTTCCCAGCCTGATGCCCATTCCCAAGGACTAGCCCTCATGAGAACATGCCCCAAATATGTGAGACCCAAGCTTGACCATCCTTGCTTCTAAAGAGCACTTTAATTGCCTACCTCCAAGACGGACTTGTTTGTTCTTCTGACAGTGCATAGAATAGCCAGTAATCTTTTCAGTAAATACTACAATTCAAAGACATTGATTCTTCTTCTGTCATCCTCAGTCACTGTCTGGCTAGATGCATAGGAAGCAGCTGACAGCGTCATGGTTTGAAGTAGGCACATCTTAGTCATGATGGATCTTGGCTGTAAAGTAGAAAATACTAGAAGGATGTTTGTGTTTTATTGACTATGAAAAGGCATTTTATTACGAGGATCATAATGAATGGAGGATAACATTGAGAGAATGATTCACTGTGCTCATTGAAAACTTCTACATAGACCAAGAGGCAGTGCTCCAAACAGAACAGAGATACTTCGTGCTTTAACATCAGGAAACATGTACTTCAGACTTGTATCATTTCTCCACACCTATTTAATCTGTAGCCTGGGCAAATCATTCAAGAAACTGGCTTATGTGAAAATGAATGTGGCCTCAGGGTTGGAGGAAGATTCATAAACAACCTACATTATGCAAATGAGACAACCTTACAGAAAGTGACGAGGACTTGAAACACTTGCTGCAGAAAATGAAAGACTACAACCTTCAATATGGATTATATCTCAACACCAGGAAGTCGAAAGTCCTCACCGCTGGACCACTTGGCATCATTGTGATCAATGGATGAAAGATTAAATTGTCAAGGATTTCCTTTTTCTTGGATTCGCAAATAACACCCACAGTAGCAGCAGTCAAACATCAAAAGAAATGTTGCATTGGGGAAAACTACCTCTCTAACAAGGGCCTCTCCAAAGTTCTAAAGAGCAATGATGTCAGTTTAAAGACTAAGGTGCACGTCATCCAATTAAATGGTAATTTTTTTTTTTCACTTACTTCCTGTGAATCTGAAAGTTGGATGCAGGGCAAGGATGGGAGAAGAAGAATCAATGCCTTTGCATTGTGGTTTTGGCAGAGAGTCTTAAATATCCACGGACTGCCAAAAGATCAAACAAGTCCATGCTGGAGAAAGTGTAGCCGGGGTGCTCCTTAGAGGCAAGGGTGGTGAAACCTCATCTCACAGGCTTTGGGCATGTTAGCAGGAGCGGCCGAAAGGTAGGTCAGAGAGAGACAACCCTCAAGGGGGTGAACTGACAGTGCCTGTAACAACGAGCTTGTTGGAGATCATAAAGGTGATGCAGACAGGGCACAGTTCAGATCTATTGTTCACTGGGTTGCTAGGAGAGAGATGGAGTCAACTTGTTGGCACTTAATTGCAATAGGCTTCTGGGACTGTGAGAGAATTCAGGCTCCCCAGCCTTGTGAACCCAGCTGCTTTAGCCTGCAGACACACACACACACACACACACACACACACACACACACGCGCGCGCGCGCGCGCGCGCGCCTTATTATACAGGAGACCCTGGTTTCAGGCCCACCCAAGCCTCTTAATCCCTGGATTCCGGACTTAACCTCATGGCACTGGAGTTGCTACATCAGAGGATAATGTGACAGTTAAGTGAATTAATGAGGGAAGTTTCTCTTCTGAAATATGTCACACCCAGTGCTGGGTGGCTTTCTCAAAGGATCCCATTTTCCTTCGTTTCTGGGAAAACCAGCCACAATGGGCTGAACCGAGGAAAGCGCTGGAGGGTGGGCCTGTGTGAGACTATAACCCCTGGGGTGGTCGGATTTTGCTGGCCAGTGCCCACTTCAAACGCCAACCGTGCCATTTATTTATATATGTATTTTTCAGAAGAGCATGTGGTGCGTGCCCCACTTCTCACCCCAAGTTGAACGATGGCATTTTCCTTACCAGGCTCGAGGCTGAGGACAAAAGGCCTGTAAATGGCCCTCTCCCCCGCGCCCCCAATCACTTGAGCAATCCGAAGTGACCATTTCCAGCCATCAAGTGGCCGCCGAGTGCGAGAAGTTCGCAGCGTTTGGGGAAATCCGCAGCAACAGTGGACGCGGGGCCAACAAAGCGCCCCTTGCAGCCGCCAACCTCCTTCCACCCCAGGGGCGCCGACGGAAGGTCTGGGCGAAGGTGGCTCTCCGCCAGCCCCCAGCCCTGTCCCCGCCCCCGTCCCATTAAGTGGGGAGGAGCGAGGCTCCGATGGATCCTCCTGCGGGGCTTTGTGCGCGCTCTCTCGGAACCCCGGCAGCCGCCCCGCACAGCGCCCGGGCCCCCGAGGGCGCGCATTTCCGGGCCGCGCACCACCCAGCTCGCCTCGGCCGCTGCCGCCCGGGCACAGTCCAGCGCCGCCCCGCCTGCTGCTGGCCATCCGGCCCTGTTCGCCCGCCGAGATGCCGGTCGATTTCACCGGCTACTGGAAGATGCTGAGCAACGACAATTTCGAGGAGTATCTGCGCGCGCTTGGTAAGCCCCCGGCCCGCGGCGCTGGGCCTGGGCGCAGGGCGCAGCCGCCCTTGTCCCTCTGCTCGTCCCTCCCTAGTGGACCCGCGGCCACTGCTATCCGCCTGGCCAGCAGACTGTCCCGAGGTCTGGGGTCGTTGGGGCCTGACAGTTGGCCCTGGACGTGGGTAATTGCATTAGGAAAGCTGTATTTGGGTTGCAGAAAACTTTGTTGGCACAAGAGGCGCGGACGGGCTGCGCGCATAGGCAGCAAAGCCATCTGAGCGCCCTGCCTGGGTTTCTAGAGGAGTGGCTCAGTGTGGGGGGATACAAGGGGGTTCTTGTACCCCCGGGAACGATACTCCGCGGTTTCCTGACCACCAACCCTGCCCCTCTCTGTTCTCCCCTGCACACCCTGCAGATGTGAATGTGGCCTTGCGCAAGATCGCCACCTTGCTCAAGCCAGACAAAGAGATCGTGCAGGAGGGCGACCATATGATCATCCGCACCCTGAGCACTTTCAGGAACTACATCATGGACTTCCAGGTCGGGAAGGAGTTCGAAGAGGATCTGACGGGCATAGATGACCGCAAGTGCATGGTGAGGATTCTGGCCCCCGGCGTTATCTCCTGCCTAGTGGGTCTTGATTCATCTGGGAGGGGAACCCCACAGGGCCTTGGGATCCTTCCCATCCCCACCCGCACGGTGCCTCTGGTGCCCCTTCTGTGGGAACAAGATGGTCGTAATAGTTCTGAAGGTTGCCTCTGTGGAGTCTCCCTCAAGCCCCGGGCACCTGGCCATGTCCTTCACACATACATGACTTCACTTGAACTTCAAAACACCCTCTGAGGCAGCTATGAGGACTCCGCCCATTTTACAGATGAGGAAATCGTGTCAAAGAGATGAAGTAACACGCCCTGGGGTAGCAGAGCCAGGGAGGGGCTAGGCTGGAATCCCAGGGAAGCCTGGCGCCCTCCGAGGCTGCACTTGACGGGGACATGAGAATGGAACTAGAGACTCAGCAGTGCAGGGGCCCCTTTGCCTGAAGCTCTCCGGCTCTGACCCGCTGCCCTGCCCTCTACTCTTCTGCAAGCTGGGACTGGCTCCTGGCCTCGCCCCGCCCCTCTGTCTGCTACCACCACCCATTGTTCTTCCTTAAAGTGCTGCCACCTACACCTTTTCAGCTACTGTCCCCCAATTGTGAGGGGGGGGGAACCATCCCAGCCTCCCCACTAAAGGGTGGGAAGCTGGTGACCCCAGAGACCCCAATTAGCACAACCACAACAGACTCCCGGAAGGTCAGCCTCTGTCAACATTCCCGAGGTCACTGGCAAGTTAAAGGCCTTCTGGTCTCCCTCTTCCAAGGCTTTGCTGGGAACCCAGCTTCTACTTGCTACCAGGGAGACTTGGCTTGTCCCGGGTGCCCCCTCCCCAGGGTTTGCTGTGTGTCCTGCTCAATGCCACAGCCCAGTGAGGGGGCGGTTAGTAACCTCACCTCTCCCAGTGACTAATTAATGCTCGAGGTGGAATGTGAGCTTTTTGACTTTGAAGCCCACACTCCTGCTCTGTGCCAGCTTCCTCCAGACAGAGCCTCTGCTGAGACTCTAAGGGGGGTGAGGTTTGGGAGGACTGTGTCGAAGGAGCGTTACTGCCTGGGGATAAACCCTGGGTCTGAACACATCTCTCCCGCCTTATCTAACCGCTCTGTTGGTGTTTAGATGAATGGAGGAAGGAATGACAAACAGGAATGTCTTTGTTATGTGCCATCGAGTTGGAACCGACTCATAGCTGTGCCTCCAGCAGGTTTACCGGGACTGTGAATTGCTCGGGAGAATACCGCTCACCTTTCTCCCTAGAACTGCTCGCCTCTGAGTTGACAGCACAAGGACTTCGTACTAGGCACTAGAGAGAAATCACTGTTGTTGTAGGGAAATGGCAGACTGTGTGTTTAGAGGCCTCAAGGACTCTTACCTGCTGGAGAGGCTCACTCACAGTGGGAGAGCGGATTCCCTGACGGGTCTGAGAATCTGGCAGAGTTTGGGCTCTGCATTTCTCATCTCTGCCCAGCTCTGCTGCATGGAACCCCACATTGTACTAATAGCCTTTGACCCCGGCTCACTCTTGAGGGGGATACACCGAGCACGCCAAACACCTCTGTTCAGTTTGGGTCGGTGTGACTTCTGGAATGTGCTGACTTACGCCTACCTGGCAGTCACCTTCGCCCTCCTGGGCCTCTCTCCTCATTCAGCAGCATGTGAAGCGTTTTACGAGTTACCTAGGGACGCTTCTCATCAAGTGTTTACTACACGTCAGGTCCTATCTTTCGTGTGAGTTCATTTAAGCTTCACAACTCCCTTTTCAATCTTATTTTACAAATACCTGGAGCAAGCTTCCTTGCTGTGGGGCGTTGGGGCAAGTTAAGTAAGTACTGGAAAGGCATTTCAATAGGATTTGATCAACTCCAGAGTCCCTGTTAATTTTCACTGTGCTCTGTTATTGTTGAGTAAGCTCATGCCAGTTCTGACTCATCGACACCACATACAACACCCTGCTCAGGGATGTGCCTCCCTCACAATCATGGTTCTGCTGGAGCTCATCGTCGGGGCCAGTATGTGATCCTTCTCAGTGGGTTTCCTTTTCTCTTCTGACCCTCTACTTAACCAAGCATGGTGTCTTTATCTGTCAAGTAGGGAATTTACCTTTCTTGATAGCATCTCCAAAGGATGTGAGACAAAGTCTTTCCAGCTTCCTTTTAACGGCATTTCAGCTGTGCTTCTTTCAGGATCAAGGCCATAATTTAAGGCACCAGCTCCTTATTCTTCCTTATTCACTGCTTAACTTTCACTAGTGCAATTAAAAGCATGTGGCTTGGCTCAGGGGTGTCTTACCCTCAAAGGATCCTCTTTGGTTTTTTCATACTTGAATGTAGTCTTGTAGAGTAGATTTTCATTTGCGTGCTTGACTGTTGCCTCCATGGGTCTGGATTGTGGACCCCATAAAATTAAATCCGTGCCAACTTCCGTCTTTTCTCCTCTTATCACCATACTGCATATTGGTCAAGTTCAGAGAATTTTTATTTTCTTGTTGTAGAATCTACATCTTGAAGACTGTACCCTTTGAGCTTCATCAGCAAGTGTTTCAAGGCCTCTTCACTTTTAACAAAGCAAAGTTGTACCATCTGCGTATCACAGGTAGTTAACGAGCCTTCTTGCAATCCTATTGACTTGTTCATCTAGTTCACCTTTCTTATATTGCGTGCTTACCCTAGAGAATGAAGAAATAGGATCGAAAGATACAGCCTGGGTGTAGAGCTTTCCTGCATTTCAAACCATGTGGTATCTCCTGGTTCTGCCTCATGGTCTGCGTACAGTTCCTCATGGGCACAATTACCAAAAAGAAGATGCTCTTCCCCTGAGTTGATTCAGGCACATGGTGACCCTCCGGAAGGTTCCCAAGAACTCCACTCTTCACTTACACCATCAAAGTGACTAGTGGATTTGAACCACCGACATTTTGGGGAAACAGAACAACCTGTAACACACCACACCGCCAGGGCTCCTCAAGAACAGTTTAGGAACTCTGGTAGCTTACTGGTAAGGAGTTGTGCTGCCAGTCCAAAGGCAGGTGGTTTGAATCCACCAGCTGTATCAAGAGAGATAGATGAGAAATCTCGTGTGTGTGCGACAGCCTTTGCAAACCTGCTGGAGGGTGAGCCGTGAGTCGTTCCAGCTTGAGAGCAATGAATGAGTGTGTATGAGTAATTCCTAGTCTTTGCAGGGTTATTCACTTTTGTTATGAGCTACAGAATTGAATTCTTTACATAGTAAAACACCCGTAAATACATTTTTAGTATTATTTCGTTTTAATCAAGGTTTTTCTCAAATCAACAATGGTATCTCCAATGGTATCTCCTCCTGAATCCGGCTTTACTTTCTGGCAATGTAGTGCTGCAACCATTTATCTTTTTTTCCCCATTATCTTTAGCAAAATTCCATTTGTATATAATACAAATAATGACATACCTGTGACTCATAGAGACCTTATGTAAAACAGCTCTGAAGCCCGCCCTGTCCTGAGCCAGTCTCACTGATTCCAACACACCAACCCCCATTACCCTGGTTACTATGTCAGTCCATCTCATCCAGGGTCTTCCTCTCCTGCGCTGTCCCTCCACCCTTCCGATCATGGTGCCCTCCAAGGATCAGTCCCTCCTGGCCATGTGCTCAAAGTATGTGAGATATGTGAGACAGCTTTCAAAATTCTAACCTCCAAGAAGAAAATTGGTTTCACCCTCTCCAAGACAGACATATTTGTTCTCTTGGCGGTCCATAGTATGTTCTGTACTCTTCTCCAGGATCACAACTCAAAGGCATCAGTTGTATTAATGGTAGTTTTTGGTAATTTGTGCATTCTTTTGTTTCCTTTTTCTTGGCAATGGGTGCAAATACGGATCTCTTGCAGCCCTTTGGCTAGATACTATATTCCAAATTTCTTAGTATAGACAAGTGAGCACATTCAGTGTTGTATGATGCTCCTTTGCAGAAATCTATCGATACTCCATCAGTTCCTGGCGCCTTAATTTGTTTCATCAACGCCTTCACTACAACTTGAACTTCTTCCTTCTGTACCACCTATCTTGATCATCTGTTACCTCCTGAACTGTGGAGACTCTTCGACCAGTTCTCCTTGGTACAATGAGTATATTCCTTCCATCTTCTTTTGATGTTTCCTCTACTGTTTCAGATTTTCCCCATGGAAACCTGCAGTGTTTTAACTCCAGGCTTGAATTTTCGTCTTCCATACTTTCAGCTGGAGAAAAGCTGAGCATTTTTTTTGGTGTTGTTTGGTGGCAGAACTTAAGTCCTTTGCACACTTCATTATTTTTTTTAATATTTTTTAATATTATTCTGATTTATTTACAAAGTTTAAACACGTTGTTTTTCACAAAAGATCCTTCCTGTTTTCTTCACCCCACGCATCCATCAAGTTATACAACCCTATGATTAACACACTACCCCCTTTCTCACCCCTCTATTTCTACCCTCCCCCTACCTCAGATCCTCATACTAATCCTACAATAATGGTTTTATACAGTATTTGTCCTTGTGGGACTGAGTTAGTTCACTCAGCATAGTGCTCGCCAGTCCCTTCCAAGGTAGGTAATAATTTACAAAATCGTTGCTCCTGCGTGCTGCATAGTATTACATTGTGTGAATGTACCACAACTGCTCAATCCATTCATTTGTGGTTGGACATCTGGGTTGTTTCCATGTTCTTGCAATGGTGAATAATGCTGCTATGAACATTGGTGTATACGTTTCCATTTGAGTCTCAGTTCTCATTTTCTTGGGTTATAGTCCAAGCAATGGAATAGCTGGGTCATATGGAACTTCTATATTCAGCTATTTGAGGAAGCATGAAACTGCCTTCCAGAACGATTGTACCTGCACATTTCCAGTTGATGGTCGAGTCTTGCTTGGTCTCCAGCCCTTTTTCAACTGACAATATTGAGCTTCTCTTTTCTGACTAATGTTGAGCTTCTCCATCATCTCTTTTTGTTGATATAATTTTATTCCTGTAGATTCCATTTGGTGCAGTCC